CCCCCCCTCTCTCTCCCTCCCTCTCCTTTTCGCTTTCCTCTCCCTTTCTCTGTCATTCTCAATAGACCACTCCCTCATTTTTCTTCAAACCCACTCTCCTATTTACTGATTCGAAAACAGTAATCAATAAAAGTTGAGTTGTAAACACATCTTTTGAATGACAAATTATAGGCCTACATTTTAGTTCTGTATAAAATAGATTAGATTGAAACCAGCATTGTCCCTGTTGACCAACACACGTTTCACGTACATTGTATAGGAAGAAAAACTCCTTCTCCGTGATGAGGTGGTTGTTGATTTGTTGAAGAGCCTCCTCTACCTCCTCCAGGTTCATCTCAAAGTCCTGGGGAAGTGGGCGTGATAAAAAGTCTGAGATTGATTGATTGAGTAGGTGTTTTACGGCACTATCGACTCAATTTTGGTCATGTAAGTGACAAAAACTCTGAAAGGGGAGAGTGAAAAGAGAAAAGAGAGAGACAGACAGACAGAGATTATGGCTACTCTCAGTTACAAAACAAATTTGATAACAAATATCATGATAATAATCATCAAGTGCCAGATCTGCGACGGACATCAGCGATTATGGTTCTCCATTCATTCCTTTGCTCTTATGCCCTAAGAAAAGCTACAGTATCCCATTATTTCCTCGTCACCTATCTGTTGGACTTCCCAAAACAATTATTATAATATTATAATATAAATATAGCATTTCATTGTAACCGCAAAATCCCGTTCAGCAGCAAGTTCTACACTATACGCTTTACCCTCATAAACCTTACAGCATTCTGAAACAATCTCAATTATCTTCCCGGGAAATATGCAGAATAAGGAGAAATGTAGTAATAAGAAGATATAATAATGTAATTATAAATATTTTACGCCCCCTTCAGCACAATGTGGATTATATAACAATAGCATGCTTCGGTCCGCTTCAGCCCATTTAAGAATCAAACTTGATATCTTCTACGTGCGACGCCGAAGAAACCAACCACTAAACCACAGGCGCCGGTGAATAACACACAGATAAAAGTGCATGTAGTAGAAACAGCAGACCAATTAATGGAAACTTTTGTTTTTGGGCTCAATACATTATTTTCTTTTCTGCCCATTTAAAACTATTCTTGAGTGGATTTTACAGAAACACGTTGGTTAAAGCCACAGGAAATGTGAATCAGCGGTGTGTAAGGACACCCCAGCTTTGGAGGTCACTAAACTTTGGCAATGCATTAGTTTTGGTCGAGTTTTTCAAAAACAAAAAGTGAACTTTTATAAAAAATTTAAAAAATGAGAAAGGGGAACGTGCGCGCGCGCGAGAGAGAGAGAGAG